CCTACGCCATCGTGCCCCCTGACGGCCGTCGTCGGCGCCTTTGAGCCCTGGACCCGCCGCCTCGAGTGGCTCTGGGAGGTGGTGCGCTTCCTCGAGGCCCCCGCGTGCTGCGCCGCGCGCGCCATGGATCGCCTGCGCGCAGAGCTGCAGAGCGGCTACCGCGACGTCGAAGAGGCTGCGCAGTCGCTCGTGGCGGCTGCCGAGACGGCTTGGCTGCGACAGGTGGCGGCGTGGATCTTTTACGGCCGGCTGCCGAGCGGCGGCGGCAGCGGTGACGACGACTTTTTTGTGCGCCCCGCCGACGGCCCGGACGAGGACTACGTATCCGTCGCCGACCTGCTCCCGGCGTTTGTCACGCCGGCGACGGCGCGCTCGATGCTCTTCATCGGCCGCTCGCTCAACCAGATCCGCGCGCGCAGCGGCGCCAGCGGCACGACGCTGTCGACGACGAGCGGCTTCCACAACACGGCCGCCAAGCTGCAGGCCATTGCCGACCTCGCGTCGCCGCTCAGCGCGGCCAGCTTCACCGGCACGATACGCGACATCCGGCAGTCGCTCTCGCAGGACATCCTCGAGCAGATCCTGCCGCTGTCCGAGGTCATGTCCACCATGCAGCTGCTGCGCGAGTTCTTCCTGCTCGGCCGCGGCGAGTTCGCCATGGCGCTCACGCACGAGGCCGACGAGCGCATCCGCGGCCGCTGGCGGCGCGCGGGGAACCTCGCCGCCGCCGCGCAACCCCCCGACAAGGACGACGCCGTCCGAAACGTCACGGTCAAGAGCGGCGAGGTCTCGGCCGCGCTCGCCCGCGCCTGGGCGTCGCTGTCCTCGCTTGAGCAGCGCCGCCACCCGTCGTCGTCGGGCGACCACGACGGCGACGCGCTTCTCGACCGCGCGCGCGACCTCCTCCGGTTGCAGCTCGTCAAGGCCCGACCCGACAGCAGCAGCCCCCCCCTCGCGCGTCCCGGGCTGAGCGCGGCGGCCGTCGCGCGGCTCGCCGACGCGCCCTTCCACGCGCTGCTCTTTTCCGTGCCCGTCGTGCTCGCCATGCGGCTGCCGCCGGCCGTCGACATGGTGCTCGGCCCGTCCGACATGCAGCTGTACGGCTGCGCGCACGCGTACCTCGTCGCGCTGCGCCGCGCGCACATTCGCCTCACCGGCCTGTGGAAGCTGACGTCGCTGCGCCGGCACTACCCGGGCCCGCGCGGCGCCGGCGCGCACGCGCAGGAGCTGCGCCAGCGCTGGTCCGCCCGCGCCCAGGTCCTGCGCGGCACATGGACCGCCGCCAGCGCCGCCGTCTTCTTCCTCGGCGAGACCGAGGCCTACTTCCAGACCGAGGTCGTGGCCGGCTCGTGGCGCGGCTTCCGCGCCTGGCTCACGGGTGACTCTGCCCAGCAGGATACTACTGCTCCTCCGCCGCCCGACGACATGGACATGAGCGACGATGACGACATTACCACAACGCCTGCTCCTCCCCGGCACGCGCGTCACGACCAGCAGACGCTCGCCACCGGGCACGCCGTGTACCTCGATACGCTGGTGCACCGGCTGCTGCTGACGCAGGACGCGTACACGCGGCCGCTGCACGCGCTGCTGGTGCAGATGGACCACCTCGTGACGCACGCGCACCGGCTGCACGGCATCTTCACGTCGCGCGACCTCGAGACCGACGCCGGCGTCGTCGACGCCTTCACCGACCTCGCTGCCGAGGAGGCCCAGGTGCTGCGGCAGCTGCGCGCCGTGGCGGCCTCTGTGCGCGCTGGCATGGACCACGTCGTCGCCGCGCTCGAGCGGCTCAGCGTCGACGAGGCCTTCCTGCAGACGTGGGAGGGCGAGACAGCTGTCGCCGCGCAGATGGAGGACTTGGCGCCGGGGGAAGCGTACCGCCCGGCGAGGGTGGGCGGTCTCAACAGGCTGCTGATGCAGCTCAAGTTTGGTAGTTAGATGACTGGCGGGGGCAAGAGGGTGGTAATTACAACAAGAGTCTTGTTTCATGAGTTGAGGATGCACTCTTCACGATGAGAGGAAAGGACTGATGCGCTTTAATACTGCTGCATGATAATTATAAACGACACGGTGATGCTCCCAACTTCCTCGCGCTCATTGTAATCTCACACGATAGGCAACAAAAGGTGGCCATTTCAACACGCGGGGAATGACTAGCATCGGAAAACCAAAGATGATTTTCATTACAACAAAACTTGCAAATATGGTGGCCTGTCCCCCCTCTCTCTTCCATCCAGCCAGCTCCACTAAGGCTGGCTGTTCCATCCCACCCAGTTGCGCGCCACGACGCGCCACACCTTGACTTCGCCGCTGCGCAGATCATCCAGCTTGTAGCTCTCCAACTTGACCTTTTTGTTCTCGCGGCCTTGCTCCCAGGCACGCAGCTTCTTCTTGGTGCCGTCCCACTCGGCCACAATCGCCACGTGGTCCGGCTTGCCCACCTCAGCGCTGTACTTGGCGTGCATGGCGCCGTGCTTGCCCTGGAACTTGCTGTTGCGAAACGACACAATGTCGCCGGGGCGGATGACGTCGTGCTGCTGCGTCGAGGCATTGGCCATGTTGGAGTAGACGAGGGCGCCGTACGCGCGGGTGCCCACGGGCCACAGAGCACCCTTCAAGGGACGGAGTAGCTCGAGAACCAGACTTTGCGGTGAGCCATCGCCGACAACGGTGTCTTTTTTGGTACTTGCGACCTCGACAATCTGACGACCAAATCTGTCATGAAATTCTTCCATCTCGTCTTGGCGGAGTGTGCGGGGAGGACCTTCGTGCTTCTGGCTTAGCTCAACATCGGCAGGGGCATAGGGATCGAATCGGACGGTGATGATGGTCTGCGAGTAGTCTTGGTATAGAACAAAGATTCCGCGTGTAATAATCGTTTTCGCGCCTTGGTTATTCGTGGTCGATTCCTCCGATTCGAAGAAAATATCGCGGCGACCTTGTAGCACGGGGGGTAGCTGATCTGCCTGCTTCCACCAACCACTTTGAACAGCCAGATCAACATCGTTGGCAATGAACCCAGATTCCAGTGACTGTCTATGGAGATCAACGGAGCGCCTATTACTGGTGCTTGTGCGTGTACCTTCCATGGATGTGCGGCCGCTCGCGGCTGCTGGTGGGGGTGGCAGGCGTCGTCCAGTGGTTGCAGTCGCAGTGGGCGAAACACCCGGATCTGCAAAGTAGGCTTCTTCTGCAATCTTCGGGGTTCTACTTGAGCTGGCGCCTATCGGAGGGGAGGCGTAGCTATAGGGATCGGAATCCTCAGACGGTGGAGCCGCAGCTGGTGGTGGTGGTGGAGCTGCGCGAGGTATATCAACAGATCGCCGCTTATTCTCTACCGGGGAAATTGCCGGTACCGGTGGCGGAATAGCACGAGGTGGTGAGTTTGGCGGGATGGGCGGAGGGCGGCTTGCAGGGACCTCAGTCGTGGGTGACTGAAGTAGGCTATCGTCCACACTTGAATCACGAGCATGGGCTTTCAATGCGTCCTTGTGGGGGACTGAAGATGCAATATCAGTGTCATAGTCACCCTCGTACTCTGTGCTTTCCTCACCAGCCTCATCCCCTGCTTTTAAAGGTCTGGATGGTGGAACGGGAGGTATATCAGCAGTCATCGACGGACGACTGACGCCACCCGGAGGCGGAGGCGGGGGTGGTCGGCTTGCAGCAGGGGGCAACATCGACGCGACGCCCGGGATAGGAGGAGGCGGTCGGCTGTTTCGCTTATTCGCAGACGGGGGCTCTGCAAACCGCGGGGACAGAGGTGGCGATCGCAACGGAAGTCGCGGTGATTGTGCTAACATGGGGTCGGATTGATCCCTTCCCGCAGAGAGCTCATCGTCTGACTCGGAGCCCTCGGTCGCAGACCTGATGGCTGGCACAGGGGGTGAAACGGGCGGCCGTGGTGCTACAGAAATCATTAACAAAGTATAACAGGTTTGATTTACAGATCTACTCACGCTCTGGGGGAACAGGTGGCGGCGCAGGACGCCCGCTCGGCACCGGAGGAGCACGCGGCGCGTCTGAGCGAGAGGCAGGACCTGGGGTAGCACCGTCGTCATCACTCTCTTCCTGGTCGGCATCAGCGTCGTTTAGCTTGGGAATGGCTGGCGCCCTGCTAGGCACAGTAGGTGGCGACGGCAAGCTGGGGGTCGGCTCATTGTCGTCGTCTTGTTCAGTTTCGCGCTCCTGTGATTTCTTCAGACCTCCGATACCGGGCAGTGCCATGGGTGTCGGAATTGGAGGCGCAGAGCGCTGCGTATCATCTGGACGGCTCTCTGCATCCTCTTTGGGGGCCTTTTCTGGCTTGCTTCTCTTCGGTAGACCACCCGCGGGGGGGATCGGAGCACCAAACATGCCGTGGAAACCCATACCACCGCTCATTTTAGCCATTCTTGCACGGAGCTCCTCCTTACGTCGGACTTCAGGATCCATATCTTCCTCCTCCTCTTCCTCTTCTTCTGCTTCAGCCTCTTCAGCCTGCGATTCTTCAGTGACCTTATGTCGATCGTCTTTGGCTGCAGGAGCACGGCTCAGAGTCGGAGAGGTAGGGGCGGTCTCTGAAGTACGACGCTGTGATGCTTCACCTTCTTCTTCACGCTCCGATGTATCATCTTGGCCCTCTGTAGTATCGCCGGCTCCAGACATATCCGCCTCATTACCGTCGCGTGGAGATTCGGCAGCGGGACCGCGAGATGCCTTGCGTCTTGGTGGTGGAGCCTGGGCAGGTGCTTGCTCCTCAAGAGAAGTACGGCCAATTGTGGTTTCGGTATCTCTCCTTTCGAGCGGTGCGAGATCGGCGACATCGACATCCTCAAGGGGTTCACCACCCGGTACTTCGGGCTTCTTCTTGGCCGGTTTCTTGGGTTTTTCCTTCTTGACGGCGGCCTCTGCGTGTCGCTGGGCCTGCTCCTGCTGTTGCTTGGCGAGCAAAGCAATACGTTCCTTGAGGCTGGTTGGCTTGGGCTGCTCTTCTTCTTCGTCACCGGCTTCCTGTTTAGTCTCGGTCGGAAACAACCCAGCCTTTTCAGCCTGTTCTTGGTTCTGGGCCTCCTGCTCTCTAATCTCGGGGTCTTCGGATCTACGATAAATCTTTTGAGTCACCTGCTCCCGTGGAATGGGAACATAGGCGTCGCGGCTGGGGGGCGGGGGTACAAATGGCTTCTTGATAAAGCTTGAACCTCCAAGGCCGCCGGGCTTGAACGGTGCGACAGGCGCGGCCGCGGGTTTGTTGAAAGCGGCAATGCGGTCTTTGAATGAGCTGCTGCTCGGCTTATCGACAACGGGCGGGGGTCCGGAAGACTTCGGTTTCGGGGTTGGGGCGGGAGCGGCTGCTGGTGCCTCGCGCGGAGCAGGCTTGGGAGGCTGTGCGGTGTTTGTGGCAGGAGCTTTTGGGGGTGCGGCCGCTGCGACAGGCACGGGCACTGGTCGCGACCTTGGCTCCGGAGATTTTGGAACCTCTACTTCCGGCTCGGGTTCGGGCTCGGGCTCATCCCGAGGAAGGGCTGCCGGAGTGGATGGAGAGGCAGCAGTCACCAGCACCGGCTCTGGCTTTTCTGGCTCGGGCTTGGGCTGTTGCTGGGGAGCTGGGGCATCGTCGGGTTTTTTTGTTCGTGTCCGCATAGGGCGGGGAGGTGGTGTAGGTTCGAACTTTTCGACAAAGTTGCGAGGGAAGATGCCTTCCTTCTTGACTCCGTCTTCGTCGACGTATTCGCCACCGTACCACTCGTCATCCTCCTCCTCCGTGACGGTCATGACTTGGCCGAGAGGGAAGTTGAGATCATCATCATGGGGCGAGGTGTACTCGAAGAGAGCCTTGACTCGGAAGGGAGCGACCATGGTGAATGCGAATGGCTCACAGGACACAGCGGCCTGTCCTCCAGCAGCACAACAGGCGATTCAGTTGAGATGTTTGTTGGCGAGTCCTAGGGGTGGTTGCGTCGGGAAGAGGTGGGGCAAGGCTGCCTACGAGCGGGCAGGCGGCGACCAAGAAGATGGGACGATGTCGGTGTATAGGTGAATTGTCGACGTAGAAGATATTCAGCAGCGGGAGGGGATGGCGGGCGAGCAACGAGAAGAGCTCGGTGCAGGTCCGGTCGGTGATGGGGCAAGAAAGGCGCAGGCTGCGGCGAGCGGCTCAGATGAGGAGGCTCAGGCGGGAGCTTGTTGTGGATGTGGAGGTGGCGACGTCAGCGAGGGAAGGCGGTGATGGGATGCCTCAGCCACCGAAGCTCAGGCGGGGGGGGGTTAGTCAGGCGCTCGTGAAGCGTACAGTTAGTCACATAGTCATTTGTGCAGGCCATCGAGTCATCTTTTCTTTGTCCCTCCAGGTAGCACAGAATTAAAAGGCTGAAACCACGGGAGGATAGCGGTGGACGACTTCCCGCCACCAACGTTGCCTCTGTTGCACAGCGCCACATTCGTGCCCTCTTCTGTGGCGGTGCAGTGAGCGCCAGCAACAGTCGGGGTGACTCGATCACTCGTGCATATGCATAATAAAGAACAGGGACATCAAACTCGTTAGCGATAAAGCTAGTATTAAGCAGTATGATTTTAGCCTCTTATCACTGCATTTAGACGGCATATTGAAACTGATGACCTATATGCTTGTGTTTCATCTCTGCGGCAGATGGCTCGCAGTAACAACTATTAGCAGAGCTAATATGGTGGTAAATTTCCTAGAAGAATTCCAATCAATAACGACCAGTAGGAGCTTTTAGTGGTTCATTCCAACTCTACCGACTCCCACGTTGCTCCACGAACTATTCCCCGAGAACCCCAGACTTGAAACTCATGATGTCCATACCAGAAATTTCGGTCCATGTCTATAACGGTTGATTATTGATTATATACTATAAATATACACTTTTTATTATTTAGGCACCCTCGGCCCAGCCAAGACGACTATTGCCATCATCATACACGACGAAACCAGACTTCAAGGCGACATCGCCAAAGATGGCCAGGCTACCACCAATACCACCAATGCCACCCACGCAAGTTCCCTGCTCGGGAGCAAAGTTGATGTTGTCGCTGTGGATGGTGATGCGGCCATTCCCAACACCGAAAGAAAAGGTAGGGAGGCTAGCGTCGCAGTCAAATGTCCACAGGTACTGGCCCGCGGCGACCTCCTGCTGCTGGGCACTGTCCACGTGGCTCCAGTAGTCCGACGCAACATCGGTAGGGAGGTAGACAATGGAGGTGCCGGTATCGGCGGTGCCGGTGATGACGCGGTCGTTGAGATCGGCATCCGCAACAGCGTAGCCGGTGGCGTTGAAGAGACGGTGGCCGAGATCGTCGGTAAAGGCAGGCGTGTACGAGATGGCGCCAGTGTATTGGGACTTGTCAATGTAGCCAAAGTTGTAGGAGCCGACCTCCTGGTGCTTCAGACGGGCGGTGAAAAGCGGCTGTGCCAGTCTGCTCTTGATGCTGGAGAACCACGTCGTTTGCTGCGTGGGCTTGACCGTGTTGCCCTTGTCGTAGGCGAGGCCGAGCAAGCCGGAGCTGCCGGCGTCGTTGGTGAACTGCGACGAGACCTCCTGGGCGGACTCGACAGCCTGGCTGGCGACGCTGGCGCTGCCGACCTTGACAACGTCCTGGTAGACGATGCCCTTGCTGTAGCTCTGGTCGCCGTAGCCAATGGCCCACTTGAAGCCCTGCAGGAGCTTGGAGGAGCTCGACTGGGCGGGCTTGTAGAGGGTCTGGCCCTTGGTCTCGGACTTTGTGGTGTCGGTGCTGAACACCCACAGGTCGCTGGAGCCCGTGTCAAAGTTGAGCATGAGCTTCTGCGAGGGCGTGCCGATGCTGACCTCGCAGAGGTACGAGGTGTCGACGCCGGGCGTGGGGCCGTGCGGGTTGGCACCGACCGTGGCGTTCTCCCCGCGCCGGGCCAGGGGGACGGCCGCGCGCCGGGCGAGGAGGTCGGCCTCGATGCCCTGGATCGTCTCGGGGCTGGCAAACTTGCGGAGGGCATAGTGCGCGTCGGCAATGGGGTTGCGCTGGACAGGGTTCTTGTGCGCCGGGACGCTGAAGGTGAGGCCGGAGCTCTCGGCCGGGGCGGCGGCGGCACTGCCGGCGGCAGCGGCCAGAGCAACAAAAGTGCCAGCGGTCTTCATTGTGGAGGTGAAAGAGGGGTGAGACGAAAAGAGCCAAGGTGAGTGATGGAGATGCTAAGATCCATCGTCTGCCAAGAGGTGGCGGGAGATCTCAATCTTTTTGTAGTTGGCCGAGGGGCGTTGCTTGGCATCTCGGCCGCGGTCATTGACAGCACCGCATCGCTCGCATGACTACCGAGTAATCTGCTCCCATCATACACTGTCACTTTGTGATATGGCCTTGAAAGTAGGGAGGCTAGCCTATCAGGGCAGTTGGCGATGGTTTGGGTAGGTGCACAGAGATCAGCACGGTGGACATGCCGACAATACGAAACAGAGGAGACCAACGGGCAGCCTGTAACTGGAAGGTCGGCAGTCGCATCACGACATCTCCCAGCTAAAAAGCGTCCTAGTAACGAAGCTCCCCCTTCATAGTGGAACGCCGTACGGCTCAAGCAAGAGCCTAACCCAAGGTTTCTTTCTTCCGTCTCACGGGCGGTACAAGAAAGAAGAGAAGGTGGCACGGTCAGGAGAAGCCGTCGGTGGAAAACCCCCACAAGTATTCGTGGACTAATGTAACCCGAACAAGTAGGAGGGTGAGTGATTGGAAATAAGCTACTCCGTTGGTCGCTCGTGAGTGGCTCATCAGGCGCTAGGCCGCAGATTCAACTGCCAAGTTGGGATAGCTCATCCCGTTGGGGGCTTTTGTTAACCGAACAGATTCATGCATGTTGTAGTACGCCGACAACTATCGAGCACCGACGAGGAACTTGTTCTACCGAGAGTTGAGATGGAGCAGCTTGGTGCCTAACGAATTTAAGCAGGCGGCTATGTATGACGTCGGTGATTAACGCACAGTCAACCTGACGCATTTGGTCGAGCGGAAACTGCGTTCTTCACGCCCACATGAAGTAACTCACCCCGGCAGACGAACCGAGCGACCGAGATGATAGGGTCAGAGCAACGCGTGCCAAGTACTAGTGTCGGCAGAAGGCTGTTGTGCCGAGCGAACTCTGGCGTAGTGACTGGTAGGCGGATGCATCTTGACTAACTATCCAATAGTGGTAGCACGGGTCGAATGGCAAGCAAAGGCCAGACGAGGCTGCTGTCGAGGTGATCAATCCGGACTCTCAGCCTCAATGAACGAGGGACTTGTCATTATGCAATAATATTACCGCGGGTATGTATGTGTTGCAATCGGCCGAACAAGAACCGTTCTTTGCATGACTCGCCATTTCCCCGTTAATGACATACCTTGAGCTTCTTTGCCCCATCACAAGACAAGGAGGCGCCACCGACATCATCTCATCGGCAACAAGCGGCTGGTCCTGCACCACCCGTTTTCCACATCTCCATCGAGTTTCCCGTCCGCAGCTTTTGATCAGGCAAACAGGGTATCAAGGCATGTATGTTTGCGGGCAGTTTCATTTCTTTAGCACCAGCCCGTTGTCTCGGACACAGAAAACCTAGAAAACGCCCAGTTTCGGGGCGGAGATGAAGAAAGAACGCCGCCCCCTTTATTACCGATCGATGATGTGCGGGGTCAGCCATGACAGGGCTGGTTTTCGAGGCTACTTTACGGAAATGAACGCCATGCTTTCTTGGCAAGCCTCTTGGCAAGAATTCAGTTTGTTGCTCTTGCACTTGGTTCACTCAGCTTCAACTCTTCACATAACAAATATTCCTGAAGCTTGCCAGACTTGACAGACTGGGTCGACGACTTTCACCTCAGACCAAGCAAACGATGCAAGGTGCGCTGCAAAGCTACTGGGATTAGCATGCAGTGGTAATATGGTGCCAGTACTACACCTATCTTATAACCCCCATTGACGTGGCATGATTCCATCCCCCTCGTAAATCTGCCGCTGTCAGGCTTCACACATGACCTCGGTGACGAATCACATCAACCAGCTAGGGCCACAAGCCCGCCATGCTCCCATGCCACCACGGTGCGGGCGCGCAGTCAGAGTCGCATCCGGCCGTTCCTTGATTTCGCGCCCAGTACAAATGTATCTCGCCTCCGCGGCAGTCCCTCGCCTTGCCTCCCCCATCCCCAACCCCAACCCAACCATGGCCGAGTTCTTCGTCTCCCTCGGCGCGGAAGGCGTGCGCCTCGTCGCGCCCACCGACGCCAGCTTCGCCGACCTCTGCAGCAGCTACGCCGCGCCCGCCGCCGACGCGGCGCCCGCCGTCGTGGCCCTGCCCGACTCGCCCGCGCAGGTGCAGACGCTCGTGC